GTTGTTGTTGTTGTTGTTGTTGCAGCAGCAGTGGCATAGTCGTAGTGTAGCAGTAGTCGTTGTCGTCGCAGGAGCATCACTAGTAGTTGAAGTAGCAGCAACCTTAGAAATAACGTAGAGGTCCTTGTCGTCGTCCCATCCGGGGGAGCAATCAGTAGCAAAAGTAGCACCAGCAGTGCTAGCAGTAACTCAGAACTAAGGTCGGTATCAATCTTTCCGCGATTGGCGGTTTAACATTCCAAAGCATTGGTTTATCTCTAGCTCTAGCAAAGGTGAGCCAACAAATCTTCTCTACAGTATGCCATGGGGTGTGGCAATGCCTTTATCCCCAGTATGAAACAGCTTTTGACGATAATGCCGGTCACATTGTTTTTGACATTGGTTGTGATGACATGTCTTGCTTTTCTTCACCTCGTCAGTCAGAGACCCCTCGCATCTCCAGGCTGGAGGCCAAAAGGCAGTCCCAGCTTTAGCGCGGGGGAAACACACACCAACATCCTGAACGAGGCATTTGCCTGCATACCTGTCGAGTCAGGTCTGACAGACTGCTGCGAAGCGATTCGCATTCGGAAAAGAGTCATCCTTGTGCGATCAATCTTCTGGACCGGCAGGTCCAGGTCTGAAGCTCGCAGCTGCTCCTTAATCCTGCAAGCTTAAATCACTTGCCGGTAAACGCAGCGAGGGTCAGAGGCGCCAAGAGCAACGTTCACATAAGCACGACAGCTTCTGCATATGGCTGACGGCGAAGTTCATGAAGTGTCCGGCATAGAGACGGGAACCTATCCCCGCTTGAAAAGCCGCCTGAACTGAGGGGTAAACAGATGGGAAACAAGACACACAGTTGCATACTGATAGACCGGTTCAGTCATGGGCATTAGGTCTTGCAAGTAGGTGGGTAGCCCTTATATGGACGGATGCACCATGTCAGACATCAAAATTCAACAACCGCCATAGTGATAGAGGTGTACTTCTGTTGCTCCTTGTGCCTAGCCATGTCTCCACGTGACGCTCGGAAGAACTTCGTGCAGGCCTTGGCAGCAGTAGGGGCCCCCAGCAGAGTTGAGTTTTACTGTGAGCGCGAGGTTTCAAGATTGCTTGGGGAGCCTGGCTACAAGCTTTGGAAAGTGGGGTATGTAAGGATCACGTGTCTCCGCGGAGCTTCTATACTTGAAGCATGCCCGATATAGCTACAGGAGAGCTTCCACTGGTTTACACTTTCATATTCTGGCAGTCCCATTCCCACAGCACCAAGTTGGAGTTGGAGCTGACTTGCTGACTTGCTGGAATGGTTTTGCTTTCGGCCAGTCGCTCCGTTATGGGCATATGTGGCCTCACACTTTTCTACGTAGCTTGATGTGGCTGTGTGAATCTGCAAGGTCAGTGCTCATCCTGACGCTACTGGGAATCAGAAAATCTCTCCATCGACCAACTGAACAAAACCCTAAACCCTAAGCCCCTAAACCCCTAAACCCTAAACCCGTTATGTTTGCTTGTTTGGGGAGTCGGGTGGCAACAGGAAATTCTGCCGTCAACTCCGAGCACCTCCACACCGTAGTTCTCCCTGAACCGGCGTGCCTGCAGGTGCCTTTTGAGTTTGGACGCTAAACTTGGGACAGAACCCTTTTTCGAATCTTCATATAGCGGCCTAGGGCTAGCCTAGGGGCCTGGGCTTCTATACCCGAATCTTACGAAACTAAAACCCACGTCCCCCCATGAACCCAAGCCCAAACAAACCCTATTCCATTCAGGTAGCAGACAAGCACGGCTTCGAGTTCTCCTCACAGTCGCACGACTGGATCCTTCAGATCCGAAACAAGGCTAGCCGGTTTCATTCGGCTTTGCTACGAGGTATCCAGGTCTACTGTGTTTGGGTCTGGTAAGCCCAGCAGCATTTGAAGTTGTATTGCTTCACTCTGGCCTATCGCGACCCAAAGGTATTTAATATTTCTCCTGGCTATGCCTCTGAAGCCTGATGTTGTACTACCGTAGCTTCATGAGGAGCTCATGTGGAATTAACCAATCAGTTCGATACGTATGTACATGCATACACACGTAGGCACATACGCTTTCACCTTGTTTACACAGGCTTATCTTCGGCGACGGTCGTCTCAGTAGACAGTATACATGTTTGCAGCTAGGAGGTTCCTCGCCTTCGTGGTAGCGCAAGGTAGCACAGTAGGACTTTGAAGGACGTTGGCTGTTTCAGACTTCAGATCCACGGTTTAGGGTCTAGGGTTTACATGTGCTGCTTCACGGCGAAAGGGTCTACATGTCCTTCACTTGTGGCTTGTGTGGGTGCGATTGGAGTTCTATGGCCTCGTTATAGATCTTCACCCGGAGCAATGATTTCATGATGTGTCTTGTAGTGATCTTCATGACTTCCACGACCTTGCGTGTACACAGTTTTCATTCGTGGTGTTGAGTACAATCTTTCCTCACAGATGGGCTGTCCAACTGCATGGCTTGTCATGAATACACGTCGTGCGGGGTTGCGCAGTCATCAGTGCTGCACTGCTTCACAGCGACGGCAGAGGGTTTTTGGTTTTGAAGATTTGGGACTTTCCGAAAATTAGGGTACCCTATTTTGGGGTCCTTATAATAAGGAACCGATTATTTAGGGTACTATATTAGGGTCCCCTTTTTTTTGGAAACCCCCATTTGAGAGGTCTGGAATTGGGGTGTTTAAAGGTTTCGACTCGTGCGGCTCAGAGCCTCGGCTGGCAGTCAGCTGCTGAAAGGAACCCTAAAGGTCCATATGGGTAGTTGTCAAAATTAGGGTCCCTTTTGGGGTACCCTAAATATTAGGTGCCGTATTATATTACGGACCCAACAAGGGACCATAATTTTGACAACCACCCATATATACTACCATGATGGAATTAGGCCCCCCAAAACCCTAATATGAATGGTCTTTTAAGACCTAGTTCCATAATGGTAGTATATATGGACCCTCTGGGGAACTTTGTCTGAAGAATTTCACGAAAGCTGGCGGAGCAAGGCTTCAGTTGCGTCTGCTTTAGCCGTAAGGCAGCGTAAGGCATTGGTCCATTTGTCTAGAAACCAGCGAATAATTGAAGTTGTCACTGTGTCTCGCACTAGCCAGGCCACGGGCAAGCAGTGCTCGGTGTTTGGCTACACCTTTGACGTGAATCCAGCACTCACCTCGGCGTGGTTGCATCAGTTGCTGGTTGGGTTGGGCGTCGTTCTCAACTATACGCCCTCTGCAGATCCAATTAGCCCAACTTCCAGCAGCTTCCTATCCCGTAACTCTCTCATAGGCCCGATTTAAGAACAACATCCATTCAGCTTGAGGTGCAAGACCGAGCAGAAACAGAGGGTCGGGGACAGAAGCGCTTTCATTGAAACTTGTCAGGATCTCCTTCGTGCGGTGAGCTTTGTTCCTGTATGTCGCTTGTTTGTTTGCAGCGGTTGTTTCGCTAGATTGTCCGCTTGCAGAGCTAAGTCGAAGAGTAGTGGACAAAACCAGGCTGTCGCATGCTTGTTATTTTGGAGGCCTGGAGGCCCATTGACATCATAAACTGAGGTGCCAACCTGCCATGCGTATGTTGACACCCCAAGCATGTCCATTCGACTAAGCTCGCGGCTCTGAGCTTGGCAGATCTGGTGTTTCTATTCTATAGAGGCAGGGGTGTGCAGCTGTACCTGAAACCCAACATACAAAGCCACCTCCCAACCACCTGCATGCCTGCAATCCTCCGGATGTGCCCACTTCGCTTTGCGCCGCCATCTTTGCAGGCTGCTGCTGTGGAGATTTGCAAGGGCCTGAGACAACGCATCATAAGAGTTGCATTACCCCAATTATCTCGTAGATATTGTGCAGCATGTAAGATATAGGCAAAACGGACATTAGACATGAAAGGCATGTGTGTCTGTATTTATGCATGCGTGTATGTATGTGTACAGAATTGTGCAGGTATTTACAGATACATATGTGTATATGACTGCATATGTATAATATTTGGGCCCCAGGTCTGGCCGAAAGACATCAGGGCCCTGGGACAACAAAGTGGTGCAGTTGATCTTCGCTGTGCTTGTTCGGGAGCAATAGCTTTACAGGGTGGTTTGGGGTTCCGGGTTCAGGGTTTAGGGTAAGGGCTGTGGGCTATCAGTCCGGTCGAGATCTGACAAGGCCGTTGCAAAAGGGTAAGGGTTGACTTTGCCCGGCTGAAGAACGGCAGAGGAGGCAATGCTGGCAGTCATCAAGTCCGGTTTCAAAAGGGTTAGGGTTCCGGGCTTCGCATTTAGGGTTTACTTAGGGCATGGCAGTGCGAAGCTTGCTAGAATCCTCGTTGGGGTTGGCCGATAAGCGTGCCCCTTCTTTGGCTGCTGGCCGAGATTGCTGCGAAGTGTTACTTGGCCATCACAACAGAAAGATGAACACCTCTGTTTGCCAGATGCCATGCAGAGCCCTTTGATCAATCTGTTCAATGGGAGCTAGGATTAGGGGGACCCTTGGGGATATAGACCCTCTCAATAAGGTCCCTTTTAAGAAAGCCAAAAGTAGGGTTCAGAAGGGNNACCCCTAATAATACTACCTATTCAAGTGGTGGTTCTCGCAGATTATCGGCCTGGCAAGTGTGGAGAGCCTTAGTCTTCATCTAGCGTCGATCCTAAACCCTGAACCCTAGAACATGTCAGAGCTTTGAAGACAGCGTTCTCCCAAGTTGAGCTTGAAAAGAGCCTTCGACTCTTCGCGCCGGAGATGTATCCTAGACTCGAAACCCCACCCCTAAACCCTAAAC